TTGGGACTGTGCCTTTTTACTTGTTGACCTTGGGTTTTTCAGCCCCAGCAGCCAGCAGCTGCCTGAGTGAAGAAAAGCCTCCAGCTTCAGAGGTCTGGGAGCAGGAGGCAGAGCTGGAGCCCAAGGTTGAGGGGCTTTCACCTAGCCCCTAGAGCCTGGCACTTTAAAGTCAGACTTCTAGCCTCTAAAACTGTAAGAGAATAAACTCCTTTTTGTTAAAGCCATCCCATTTGTGGTATATTTCTGTCAGAGTGGCAATAAGTAACCAAAACAGGTTTTAAGTCCATTTGATGGGGAAAGAAGAGCTTTTTAATAAATAGTGCTGGAAAAGTTGGATTTCTATGTGCAGAAAAATGTCACAGGATTCATGCCGCAAACCATATACAAAAACGTTTAGGGACCTAAACATGCAAATGAAAACCATAAAATTCTTAGAACAGGTAGGGCAGTGCTGTCAGGTCTAGCTTTCAACAATGGAATATCTAATATAATGGCAAACACACAAACAGCAAAAGACAAAATAAGACATCATAAAAATTAAAGACTTTAGTTCATCAAAAAAACTTTACCCAAAAAGTAAAAAGAAAAGCTTTTGGCTGGGTGAATATTTTTGAAAGCTATATATCCAACAAGAATCTAATAACCAAATATATATAAAACTTTAATAGCTTAACAGCAAAGAGACAAGTAACCCAGTCATAAAACAGGCAACGGATTTGAATAGGTATTTCACCAAAGAAGGCACTCAAATGGAGACCAAACATGAAAAGATGCTCAGCATTATTAGCCGTCAAAGAGATGCGAATGAAAACCACAATGAGGTACTATTTCACTCCCAGTGGGATGGCTAATGAAAAAAATAAAATAAAATGATAAACGTTGGAGAGGATGTAGGGAAATTGGAACCCTTATCCATTGTTGGCAGGAATGCAAAATAGTACAGCCATTATGGAAAATAGTGTGACAGCTACTTGCAAAACTAAAAGTAGACTTACTGTAGAACCCAACAATTCCACTTCAAGGTATTAACCCAAAAGACTTGAAAGCAGAAAGCCTCCATGAACAAGTCACTCCTTTGTCATGATACCAGAACTGAATGGTGCCTGTATACTATTACTTAGCATCTTGATCAAAAGATCTATAGAAGAATCCTGATCAAAATGCGAGGCAGTGCAGGACATAATTTTAAATTGCCATGAACTCTAGGCTTTCTGGAGCCATGGAGGGTGGATGAACCCCTGAAACTGATGCCCTGAGATAATCGTTAAACCTTAAACCAAAAATATCCTCTGAAGTTTTAAAACCAAACAGTGATTTTACTTACCTAGTAAAAAAAGATCTGCCTTGAGAATTGCACTGTTTTAAGAACAATATGTATGAGATGAAATTGACAACAGGCACTCCTAAGATTAGATAGGACCTTAGGGGGCAGTGAGTTTATGTTAATGATGAAGGAACAACTCAGAAAAAGAGAGTGAAATGGTTGCACAACTCAAATGTTATCAATGCCAGTAAATGTTACATGTAGAAACTGTTGAATTGGTGTATGTTTTGTATATTTTCAACAACAAAATAAAACTTAAAGAAAAGCAAAATGTATAGGAACCATAACCACCTACCACAACATGCATATCAAAGCACTGACACTTTCCTGTTATCTGAAATGATAGCAAGTCAAAGTGGTGGTACTATGTTTACCATTATAGTACTCATCCCTTATTTGCGATTGCCTCTTGTCTGTCTCTCCATGAAAGACGAAAGACTTCTTGAGTGCAGGCAGTGTATGAACATAAACATACAAAACACATGTTCAGTAAATTAACTGTTTGAGTGAATGAATAAAGTAATTAGAGGCCAGCTGGGTAAATTATATTGGTTAGTTAAGGGCTAAGGTCTCATAACCTGCAGAAGGAAAAACGTGGCTAGTTAGAGATGTCAAAGTGATCCTAATGGAATTGCAAATTAGTTATGGGAGTAAGTAGTTAAATTTGGGGACTAAAAATGCTAAAATTTATCGGAAGTTGGACTGACAGCTATTTATAAACAGTGATAAACCTTGCTGCTCCATACTGTTTTTCTTTGCTTTCCACACTTTACTTTAGTTCATTTGTTAGCAGAGTTCATGTGTTGGTAATTTGGAAATATTTTTGTGGAGGTTTTTTAAGCCTCTCTTTCTCATTCTGAACTTGTTATTCAGCCCTCTGGGTGCCATTGTCCTCATGTTCTCCAAAGTCCACCAGTACCACATCCTGCACTCCTGGCAAACGTTTATCTGCTAGAATTGTCATCCTGTGCTAACAAAATAATATGAAATCTGTCTTTTCTATATTCATCCCCAAATAAGTAATAAACTAGCACATACTAATACCCTGTATATCTCTAAAAAGAAAATGAAATTGTAAGGGTGAGAAAATTTGTAATTTCTCAGTATAAATTATTCAAAAAAGATATTTATTTTAAAATGGATTAAATGTATTTATAAACTAGATTTATATTGTTATGAATAATTTTTCATTCTGTAAAATGTTATCAGCAAAGTTGTATTGTTGTAGACTGTCATCTAGAACTGGAAGCAGTTTCATCTATAGAAAACCAGAGTTTTTAAAATAATTTCAAACAATTTTATATCATGAGCCTGTCTTTTGCCATAGTGGAAGAAACAGATTAGTGTTAAATTTAAACAAAAATTGTATTTGTTGTCAATATTAGTAATAAAAATGTTTCATGGGAAGATAAATAACATTTTGATTTACACAAGAGCTGTCATGATCATTCTGTAAAAAATCACATTCTATTTTTTATTGTTTAGATTTGAAGATTGTGTCATCCTGCCTCCTGTTTCTCTGTTTTGTGATCAATGTGGTTCACAGGAGCTTCTTAAGTAGTAAACGACATGAGCCTGGGGCATGGAAAATATGACTTTTATATTGGTCTGGGATTGGCTATGAGCTCCAGCATTTTCATTGGAGGGAGTTTCATTTTAAAAAAAAAAGGTCTCCTGCGACTTGCCAGAAAAGGCTCCATGAGAGCAGGTAGGTTATGCCTTATGTGACATCTGAAATGACATTAGCATTTGCTTATTTACACAGATTCTTTGGCTGTAGAAGGCATGTCTTTATTTCTAGTGAGTATATTCAAAACTTCGAACTGTGAAAGAGTTCTAAATGTTTACAGAGAGTCAGAAATCATTTCTTTCAGTGGGGAAAATAAATAAATGAGATGGCAAAATAAGTTACCTACCTACTTCTTTAGTTAGTCACACTTTTTCTTATCAAAGTGGAAACAGGGACCAATGTCCAGTTGCATCCAGCCTTTTCTTTAAATTTTGACATGTCTGCAGGGAAGGAAATATGGGTCCATCGACAGAATTTTGTTGAAGGCTCAGGTCTTTGTCAATGATAGGAGGAGTTCTGACTTTTACCTTAGATATTTTTCCTGATGATCTCCACTTGATATGAAGGAAAGAAGAGAGGGAAGGTTTCCCTGACTTGAAGAGTACCTGGTTCAGTGAATCTGAGTGGTGTGGATTGTTTCCCCAGAAATTGCTGATGAAGTCACAAGGCTCTTGGGGAAACTGGACATGATTGAACCACATTCTCACTCCTCCATCTCACTCTTCATGACAGCTTCCAGTGTCCCATCGTTGCGTTATGGCTTTGCTCTGCTTCACTTCTAGACCTAGTTCTGACCTCATGGGAAGACATGCTTTGACAGTGAAAATACCACTTTCTCTTTTCTGTGCCACTTCTGTTGGCAAACCTAATTAAATAATCTTAAATTAATAGTCTTTATTGGCATTTAATGGACAGAGGAGAAAGTATTGGTATCCACTGCTTGTTCCCCAATTCCTCATCCTTAGTCCAAAGTTATCCATAATGGATGTGGTTGACAAAGGGTTCATTCACATTGGTTTTGTTTTTTTCCTTTTTTTTTTTGTTTTTGGAACAATGGCTTAAGTACTGATGGCTTCTTTACTTTATCAGTTTGGCTGAGAGGCAAGCCAAGGAAAACAACAAAATGTGTTTATAGCAGTCCCAGACTCTGAATAGTACTCAATCTATGTCTGATTGGAATAGGACCATATAGTCCAATGTAACTATGTTATAAGTAGGCTTACTATACTTACATGTCAGAATAATTCATTAGAAGTTGATGCTACTGATTTTTCCTTTGTTTATTGAAGCTGAGTTTATAAAACAAAAAGTCAGTGTAAAGATTGATTTAATTCCTTTCCTCCAAAGTATAGTATGAACCTAAATGTATTTAACATTCTTATTATCCTGATATCCTCCTTTCCCAAAATAACCATGAAAATATTTTCTAAGAATTCCTTTATCCAATCATACATATACCTTTATTTAAAGTAGTTAACAAATGAGATTTTTAAATCTGTCAATACTAGTGTTATTATAATTTCTGTAAGGGTTTGATCATCTTTCAAAAGAGTGAAGTATTTCTTCATTCACAGGTCAAGGTGGCCATGCATATCTTAAAGAATGGTTGTGGTGGGCTGGACTGCTATCAAGTATGTATAGAGAACATTTCTAGAAAATCTTATAGTTGTATATTTAAAGTTTGCATATGCTAGTATAGTCTCATATTACTTGCACATTTTAAAACTTTGGGTAAATGATGTGAACAAAATGGATTAAAAATTAATTAACAGAATTCAAAATATATAAAATTTAAGCCTGTAAATGTCATTTAGTAGTTTAATAGCTTATTTAATTTGAATAGAAGACTTAACTATCTGATTAAAACATATCTATTTTTTAAGCTTTTTAGCTTCTTAAAGAAATTTTAAGTGAATGAAAATTTTGAAATGAAGATCATAAAAAACCCTCTTGTTTCTAGTTCCTTTCCTTCCAGTGATTCTCATTCCACATTGAAGTGGGCTGGGATATGTGTTTAGTTTAGTAGTCCAGGCTTGTTTTAATGATTGCCTTTTAAAAAGTACATGAAATAAATGAGCTCTGGTAGCAGGGGTGCCTAAGGCACTTGACTACTAACCAGAAGACTAGTGGTTCAAACCTACCAGCCACTCCTTGGAAGGATGGTTGGGCAATCCACTTCCGTACTGATACTGCCTCTGAAACCCAAGGAGGGGTCACTATGAGTCAGGTCTGACTTGACAGCACATAACAACAGCAACTACAAAAGACAATAAGTGTTCAAAGCATTCAGAATTACACAATTATGTAACTGTTCTATGGTAAACTGAAAAATATTTTAATTCAGGGTGTGGGAGGAACTCTCTATGCTTAAGAGTAACAGAAAAAATAAAAAGACTAATAGTTTTTATTTTTCATTCAACAAATAATTATTGATTACCTGTTATATGCCAGGAACTGTTCTAGGTGCTGGAGAAAAACTATGGGGGGAAAAAGGGAAAACAACTGAAAAATTCCTACCTCCCTAGAACATGAAGTTAATGTTCTAAAGAAAGAGCAATAAACAAGACAAGTTAAAATATACGTGTGTAAATGATAAATGCTAAGGAGAAGGAATACAGTAGGGAAGGACGATGTGAAATGGAGGATAGCTAGCTATAAAATTTTAGCTGGGGAACCAAAGAAGTCCTCTGAAAAGGTAGTATTTGAGTAAGAAGGTAGTATTTCCTAAAGGAAATGAGAGAATTAGCCATAGGGATATTGGGGAAAGAACATTTTAGATAGGAGGAAATAGTAAATATCAGGGCCATGAGATGATAACATGCCTGGCCTATAGTGTGGTAGATAGCCTCCATGATGGCCTCAGTGATTCTTGCCTCTTAATAATCATACCTTTGTATAATCCTCTCTCATGTCGAATCAGCGTTGGCCTGGTGTGACTAAAGAATAGCCAGTTGCCATCAAATCCGTTCCAACTCATTTCAACCCCTGTGTGTTTGAAAAGATCTGTACTCCATAGAGTTTTCATTGACTGATTTTTTGGAAGCTCTCCAAACCTTTCTTCTGAGGTGCCTCTGTTTGGACTTGAGCCTGCAACCTTTTGGTTAGCAGCCAAATGTCTTAACCGTTTGTGCCATCCAGGGACTCCAAAGAACTCAGTAGAAGTAATTATATGTGACCTCATATGCTCATCAGAGGTGCTGCAGCTTCTGCCTTGGTGTCTTAGATCAGTTGCTCTGGGGGAGGCCAGCTGCTGTGCTGTGAAGACAGTCAAGCGGTCTGTAGAAAGGTCCATAGGCTACAGCCAGTACTCACTTGCCAGTCTTGTGAGTAAACCACTTGGGGAGGGCATCTATCTGCAAGCTCAGATGACTGAAATCTCAATGACATCTTAACTACCACTCTTAAAAACCTGAATCAGAGCTACTTATTGAGCTCTTCCTAAATTCTGAATCAACTGAAACTGTGAGAGATAATGAATGGTTATGGTTGCTTTCAGTTGCCAAATTTTAGGGATCTTTGTTATCCAGCATTAGATCACTGAAAACTCAGGAAATGTTAGTGGCAAGTGTGATAGTAAGTAGAGGATAAGTTCAGAGAGGTAATAAAGGGCCAGATGTGGAGCTTTTTAGATGTTGGGGAGGACTTTGACTTTAATGTTAGTGAGATGAGAAGATATTGGAGGCTTTTGAGCAAAGAGGTGATATGGTCTGACTTAAGGTTTAATATGATCTCTCTAGCTGCTATGTTGAGAATAGTGCATAGGGTCAGAAGCAGAGTAATCAGTTAGAGGTCTGTTGTAATATTTAGATAAGATGTGATAGCATGGACCAGAGTAGTTACAATGAGGATAGTGAAAAGTGGTATAATTCTGGGTATATTTTGAAGGTAGAACTGACACTATTTGCTGATTGACCAAATAATAGGCTGTGGAAGAGAGGGGTCAAGGATGACAGGGAGATTTTTGGCCATGTTACCTGGAATAATTGAGTTGCCATTAACCAGAAGGATTGCTGAAGGATTTGGCTGATGGGGTGAAGTAATATCAAGAATTTGGTCTAGATATGTTAAGGTTTGAAATGCCTATAAAATGTTTAAGTAGATGTGTCAGATTAGCAGTCAGATACACAGGTCTTGAAATCTATGAAGAGGTCTAGGCTGGAGATAAAAGTTTGGGAGTCATCATTAGTATTCCAAACCAGGAGATCATCTAGGAAATGAGTATATAGAGAGAAAGAAGTTCAAAATCAGGGAGATCAATCCAACATTGAGTTCAGGGAGATGAGGAAGAGTTAGAAGAAGCAGTAGTCAGAGGGGTAGTCACACAGTATGGAAGCTAAATGAAGAACTTGAGGGAGCAGAGTGTTTGAGTGCTTATTTGTGTTAAATGGGTTGAAAGATTTTGAGGGTTGAAAAATGACCACTGAATTTAGCAGTAAGTTCTTGGTGACCTTGATAAAACCAGTCCTGGCAATACTATAAAATTTTTGAGTCTCCAAAAGCAGTGTTGTGGGGAGAGGTGGGGAGCAATGTTGATGATTCTGGTAATGGTGGATTAGGTAATTGAAGTAACATTCCTGCTGAAAACAAGTTAGAAAGCTGGACGGACAAAATATAAACAGCATCTTCTTAAAAGCATCAGAGAGCTGGCATGGTAATGAAGGAATTGTGTGGCCAGGATCAGGGAAGGGTTTAGAACTCAGATGGATAAGCTAGAGGCACTTCTGCTCAGGAGGTATTTAGAGACTCCAGAGGAAGCCATTGAGAGAGAGTGGAACTTTGAATTGGACTAATAAGGGTCAGAGATTGGTACTGCCAAGGATAGAGATCCTGGTGAAATGCTACCTACTCTGCGCTGCAACACTTGAAAGACCAACTTGGGATTGTGGCAGAGACTACACAATTTCTAATCATTTGAGTGGACCAGATAACTTCAAGCGTTGGTCCTGAATTAAATTGCTAATGCTTTCTGGTGCCTGGAAAAAGAAAGAGAAAAATCTCTTTTGAAGATGAGAATATCATTCTGGCCTTAAATTGTTTCTACAAGTAATTTTTCAAATAAAATGTCCAGGGAAGATAAAAGGAAGCACATTATATTAAGAAAAAATATCAAAAACAACATAGAAATTGACCCACAGACTCTCCAGCATAGACCATAAAATAACAGCTTACAAAAGGGAATTAATAGTTCCAACATTAAACTAACTACAAAGAAATTGTGTAACTGAAAAATACAACAGTAAAAATTAAATGAATGGATGTAACAAAGCTGAAAAGAAAGTGAACTAGAAGGTAGTTTGGAAGAAATTATCTAGAATGAAGCAAGCAGAGACAAAAGGATGGAAAATATGGGTAAGAGGACTATAAAACTTAGGAGTGAATGAATAATTTGAGTCCCAAAATATGAAAGGGAAAAGAGAAGGTAGCAAAAGCGATGTTTGAAGAGAAAATGGATGAGTTTCCAGAACTGAATAAATGTTATTAAACTACAGATTAAAGAAGCCCAGCAAGACCCAAACAAAATCTCTTGAAAGAAAACTTGGACCTAGTTACATCATAATGAAAGTGCTGAAAACCAAACACATAATTATCTTAAAAACATTCAGAGATAAAAAGAGTACCCACAAAAGGGTAACAAATTGATAGCTTGATTTTCAACAACATTGGAAACTAGAAAACAGATAACTTTATTTTTGTAGTGCTGAAAAACAGTTGGTAAATTCTCTACTCATTCAAAATATCCTTCACGAATAAGAACTAAATAAAGTTGGTTTACATAAACTGGAAACATAACTATGTTAAAGCAGATTGAAAGGGTATTGTGTAGGCAGAAAGAAATTTATCCAGAAGAAGGTTTGAGATTCAGGAAGGAAAGAAGCAAAGAAAATGGTAAATATGTGAAGGTGAATAAAACTAAGTATTAATGTTAGAATTGATAGGTCAGGAACATTTTTTTATTATCTAGGGTATACAGTGAAAGAATAGAATGAATGTATAACATCCTAATTAATGGAGGAAATAATGATTTTTTTTTTTTTTTTTTAAAGAAAGAGAAGGTTATAGAATGGGCAGGACAGATGGCACATAAGAAAATGGAAATAATCAGAAATTCAAAAAGACTTGTCTCTGTTTTTCTTTCTTTCTTTCTTTTTTTAAGTCAGTGCCATGGATAACAGAAAAGACATATATCTTAAAAGAAAAAGATTAAAAGCACATGGGAAAATGCTAAGTTAGTCTAGGTGACTGTCATGTATAATGTTTTTTTCAGAATATTTGAACTATTTCATTATAAACATTTAAGAGCTTAAAAACTTTTTTTTTTTTTTTAAAAAAAAAGATCAGTATATTTAAAGCCAGATTATCATTAACCCTCTTACATGAAATGTCCCAGGTAAAAGGTAAAGATTATCAAATTATAGCTCAAAGAGAAATCAACTGCATGCTTTTTACAAGAGAGACATATACAACAAGGGTATATATGATAGTTGAAAGAGAAGGATGGGCAGACATATACCAGAAGAAAGTTGAGTCACTGTTACTGACATTTGACAAAATGTATTTGAAAGCAATAATCAATATTGTAGATAGAGGTTTATTTCATGAATATATGGGGAGCTCTGGTAGCATAGTGGCTAAGACACTTGCCTGCTAACCAGAGGGCTGGCGGTTCAAACCCACCAGCCA